CTTGAAATATCGTTCGTCAAGGCAGCTTCCTTTTTTCTGTGTAATTACTGCAGTACTGTGTATGTACAGCTTTGTGTGTGTATGATTAAAAAATAGGGTATCACTTACCTTGTATGCTGATTCCATTTATATTCTTCTTAGCAGTAAGTGCTTCCTTGACATGATTTAATTTACCATCGATCATCTGCTTAGAAACGCCGTTTGGTACGATCGGCTGATCCCTATTGTCAGGGACCGTCGTGTTCAATTTCGCGTTGTTCCCATTTTCTCGCGTTACATCCAGTTTAGGGCTCTGTACATCATTTTCCTCTTTGCGGCGCGTTCGCGTCGTTAATTGGTAAAGTGCAGCGGAAAATTCTTGTTGCACGCTTGGTACGTCGGTGTCGCCGTCGATCTTTGTTGAAAACGATTACAGATCTTAGTATTTGAATTACACGTAATTATACGAGATGATATTATAATATAATAACACATATTTCTGGATTGCGCTTACAATCGTCAAGCGATTTTCGTTATCCAAAGTTTTCAACATAGGTAAAGATACTTCGCGAAAGAGTTCCAGCCTCTTCCTAAATGCAGAAACGTTGTCATCTATTCTTCCTCTCCCAAGTTGCAATTTCGAACAGTCCAGTAATACCAACGGTGGTTGCTGGCCAAACTATAATAAAGTTGAAACATTATTATTAGACAAATTCATTAAACTTGAACAATTAACAGCTAGACTCAATTATCCATTGTGTGTAATGTTCTGCTTTATTATTTATTATAAGTTACCTTGTTCTCAAATTCTTGTACTTGATTCAGGTCCCTCGGATAACCGTCAATTATTATACCATCTGTGTCGCGGTTCAGCATAATCTGTTGTTCCACTACTTGCATTACAATGTCCTGCGGGACCATTTCTCCAGAAACGATGGCATCGTTGACGATGGTGTTCGACGATGCCGTCGTTCTAAGCAATCCACCGATGCTGACTTGAATCCAACCTGGCATGTTGCGAATGGCCTGGGTGCATAAGTTCTCTTTGTTGCTCCCCGGGCCACCTGTTAAAATTAAGATATCAATCTGCTTGTATTTGTATTTGACTGAATTCAATGTAACTCGTTCGTTAATACAGCTTATATATAATTAAGCGTAACTTATATATATGTTGGCTTTAAATTTTCATTTCACTTAATCGATTCAGTCGCTTCGAGTTTGGGAGGTTTGTTAAGAGTAAAAAAGAATAGACACGATTGGATTTAAAAGGAGGAATAGACAAGACTGGATTTAAAATAATTTGAAGGGAGGTGGCAGAGTTTAGACGTTTCTTCTCTTACCTATAACCCAGATGAACGCAGGTAGCCCTTTTCTGGGTTTGTCCGCGGTTTTTACAGGGTTTAGGTTCATCTGGTCGGGTACTTGCGTTTCAGCCATCGCTTCTTTCCTAGGAGACGATGATTTTGGAATAGATTCTTTCCTTCTCTCAACTTCTACCTAT